GGCTGAAGAAAGAAAACCTGAGTGACAGGACTTAGATCAATAAATATCATTAAGGAAGCTGGAGAAAATGGCAATTGGAAGACGTGGAGAGTGAACTCCATTAAGGGAAGGGATTACAGATGAAAGCGGATTCAATGAATCTGGAAGTATTAAGGACCAAAAAATATTTAGCAAATTTCCTAAAAGTCATTTATCAGGTATGAAGAGGAGTCATTAGTGACTCCTTGGTAGTGAAAGCCATTTAATAATAGAAACTATAATAAACTATAATAAAATATTTGGTATGAGCATGTCATTCATACCCCAATAAGGAAAAAAAAGTTTGATATAACAGACCAAATGGTCAAGAGCCATTTCAATGACTGGGATCTTTGGATATCAATTCCAGTCACTCATCTTCATTACTTCTCCCAGGTTCATTCCTGGCCTGATGCCCACACTTTTACTTATAGCCCACATTATTTTCTTTTGAATATAAACAAGGATTTTGTACACACACACACACACACACACACACACACACTGATTGTGGTTACCATTGTCAAATACTATTCTATGCCCTTTATAAATATTAACTTACTTTTTAAAAATATATTTTATTGATTTTTTTTTTTTTTTTACAGAGAAGAAGGGGAGGGAGTTAGAAACATTGATGAGAAATTTCGATCAGCTGCCTCCTGCACACCCCCTACAGGGGATGTGCCCGAAACCAAGGTACATACCCTTGATGGGACTTGAACCTGGAACTCTTCAGTCCCCAGACCAAACACTCTGTCCACTGAGCCAAACTGTTTAGGGCTAATTATTAACTTATTTAACTAAGAAGAGACATGGTCATCTCCCCCCAAATCAAATGATCTAAAATGATTTTCAATCTGTAAAAACTAAATGTTTGGTTTAAAACTTGAGAGAACAACAACAACAAAAAAACCCAAACCAAAAAAAACAAAAACAAAAACTTGAGAGAACAATTTGAACTCTAATCATTACAAAGTAGATTCCCAAGACAATCTCTGTCCCTACTTTGCCACACAACTATATCTGAGAAAGAAGGTGCTGGTAGAAAAGATTGACAAAGGCTTTGGGCCTTTTCTCAGAATCCTCACAACAACCGTTATGCTTTTATTTGTTTTATTTATTTGTTTGTTTATTTATTTCTTATTTCAGAGAGGAAGGAAGAGGGAGAGAGAGAAACATCAATGATGAGAGAGAATCATTGACTGGCTGCCTCCTGCACGCACCACCTCCCACTGGGGGTCAAGCCCACAACCCAGGCATGTGTCCTTGACCGGAATAGAATTGGGACAGTCAGTCCACAGCAACTTCTTATAACAACTGCACTTCAAGTTTAAGTTAATAATCCTCTTCACCAAGCAATTTCCTGCTCCTTAGAAAATTGCAAACTAACGGGAAAGTCACTTTTATAATAGATTCCCCTACAGTGAGATTAGAAAAACAACAATATAAAAAACAAATCTGTCTTAATTGCAACAAAGATTAGCCTGTAGGTAGTATTAAGAAGCACTAGGGTTTACTTATTTCACATTTCAATAGTATGCTACCAAACCAGACTTTAGAGCCCGTTTTATACAAAAATGACTCTACATTTTAGGGACACATTTTGATATCTTTCCATCCATTATCACACAAATGCAAACTACCTTCCTAAAAAATTACCAGTAGCTTAAGTCACACGAATATTTTACATAATAGTCCTATTCCTCAGAAAATACAGGTTTGGTTTAAAAAAAACCAAACACACGGCTGCTCTGTGCCCGGCTGTTCCGAGCCGGCTGCTCCCGGCTTGGCTGTTGCTGCTCTGTAGCCTTGCAGTTTTTGTTTCAAGTGTTGTCATTTGATTTTGAAGAGTGTTAGTTGATCTCTTTCTTTAAATTGATTTAATAAAGTTTTTTTTCAAAATGAAAAAAAACACAAATAAAAAAAACAAACACAAAAATCAATCTCTACTTTAAATGCACCAAGATGCCTCTATTTGACACTCAAGGTGAGTATCCTTTGAAATAATTTTTGCAAATAATCACCTCCTATACACCTCATTGTAACCTGAAGATGTCATGGGTTGTCACCCTCACTCTAACAGTAATGTTGGCAACAGAAGTGGAATTCTCCAATGTATAGAATCTATTACAGAATTAGGGCTCAAACTAGTAGGAGGAAACTTTTTACAGATTCTGGCATTCTAGGTAGTCAATATTTACTGAACAAATCAATTGGGCTAGTTTTAATTAACTTCTGGACAATCTCTTTGCCTCTCCTTAACTACTGTTACAGGTAACCAAACCTTGAGGTGTGGCATTTTATCCTGGGCAGAGAGATCACATGTATCCTTAGCTGGTGCTCAGAATATATTAATAGTTATAGCACCACCACCGAGAACTGTTATGAAATGAAGTTCACATTAACTGACTTCTAGAAAGTCTCTTAATTCTAATCGGACCTTCTGTGAAGTGACACTTCCAAACGCTAGGTACTAGCACAAGGGAAGCAAGGCTGGAAAGAAAAGAAAAAAAAAAAAAGGTTTTCAATCTTCTCTCCTGGACTACACAACCAGGATGCGCCAGATGCCAGAGGCATCACGAAAAACTGGGAAAAACGTAAAAAATCTCGGATTGGGCTTCTTCCCTTTAAAAATATGTGCAAAAACTAAGATGTGATGAGTCATGCATCCCTTCAGGGTTGCAGGCAATACACGTTCCAACTCCACGGTGATTTAAACGTGAGAAGGGGGAAACACGTTTTTATGTTGTTGTTTTGCTTTTTTTCATCTCTCCTTTTTTCCCCTCCCGAGCCCTATGACTTCAGAACACAGAGGGGGCTCCACAGAGAAAAGCTAGCGGCGGCGGCGGGATCCTTAGGCTTTAGGGTTTGGCTGGTGAGCGGAAACCTGATCCAGACCTGGGCAGTAGATAAGATGTCTGCATGGTTTCCCCCAAGCCAAAATATTCCCCGGGGATAAGCGCCAATCCATACCGCGTTCCCCGTTCGGCCCAGGGAGCCCGTGGGTCGGCCAAGAGCTTGCCCTTGGTGCATCTCAAGGTGACCAGACCGGCGGGCGCCCGGGGCAGCGCTAACAGCCAGGAGAGGCGCTGACGGCGCTGCACCAGGGCGCAGGCCGCCGGCCTCACCCGCTCCCGGGCCCCCACTTCACCTCGTACGTTGGAAGGCAGGCTCATGGCGCCGTCGCTTGCAAGGCGTGTGTGCACCGGACACTGAACCCAAACCGGCGGCGGCTAAGCGCTGCGGACAGACCGAGTCAAGGTGCGAAAGGCGTCCTAAGGGCACCGATTCCGGGCGGCTACCGCGCAGGCGCCGCGCGGCAGTCCGTAAGCACGTGCGTCTCCTCCGCCCGGGCCGAGGCCGCGCATGCGCAGAGCCGCGTCCGGAGCGTCCAGGAAGTCCACAGTCCGGGTTTGACAGCTGCCGGAGGTGGGGGAGAGGGTGCGGGAGGAAGAGAGGTAGCCACTGAGTCTGCGCAAACTTGCGTGGGCGGGGTCCCCGGAGCCCGGAGGCAGGGCCTCGGGAACAGGGAATCCAGGCCAGGTTTTACGTCTCGCCCAGTGCGTGTGCGCGTTTCTCGGGGCACCGGACAGGTGTTAGGAAGGCGTTTGCCCTCATCAGGTAGCTAAGATCTTACCTAAAAGTTTCTTGTCCGGACCGGTCCCTGCAGGGCCAGGTCCACCTTTTCTTGTAAAAATGCCAGCGGCAGACACAGAAACCAAGTGTTGAGTCCCATTCCAGAGTCTCTTCTTGCTCTCCTGGGGCACATCCCGTTCTTCTGCCTTTTCCCCAGCAGTTAGTCCCAGCTGTTGAGGACCTTGGAACCCGTGCTAAGGGGTCGAATGAGAGAGAGAGAGAGAGAGAGAGAGAGAGAGAGAGAGAGAGAGAGAGAGAGAGAGAGAGAGAGAGAGAGAGAAAAGGCTCATTAAAAAAAAGTGCATGAAATTTTTTCAGTACTTTAGGGGGGGAAAAAGAATTAACATTATTCTTTGCCATCTACAGTCTGACATCAAATGTCAGTTCCATTTTCAAAAAAAAAAAGAATTTTTTTTATAAGAGTCGTTGAGGGCCACCAAACCGGGGAGAGAGGAGGGGCTAGGACTGGCTTGAAGGGTGTTTTGAAGGGGCGCCTTCTGAGGCGCTGCGGGTCTTGGCTGTACGGTTTCTGGGCGGCGGGGTGGGGGTACAGGGAGCTGATGCGGTGAAGGGGGGACCTCCCAAGTTTTCGAGTGAAGGGGTGGCCGCCTCCCAAGCCACCCCGGGCACGGCCGCTGCCGCCTCCCTCTCGGAGCACCGGACTGCCCGCTCCTCGCCCCTGGGGGCCCCCGGCGCCTCGGAGCGGATCCCGGGAAGCGCTGAATGAATGAACGCGCCCCGGCCCGGGCAGGCCCGGGAGGGGTGTAAGGGGGCGGGGTGGGTGGCGAGCGAAGGACCGTGACTGTGCGCGCCCAGCCCGGGGGCCGCGGGCCGCGCCGGGGGTCGGCCGGCGGGCTCTGGGCATGCTCAGTGGCGGCGGCGGCGGCCGTGGGTCGCGCAGCCCGAGGCTCGCGGCGGCGGCGGCGGAGCAGGAGGCGCGGACGCGCGCGCCCGGCCGCGGCGCCTGGAGGAGGGCGGAGGGCGGAGGGCGGGGCCGCGGGGCGGGGCCGCCGCCGTCAGGCCCCGGGGAGCGCGGGCGCCGCCGCCGCCGCTCGGCCGCTGGGTTCCGTCTCCGGACCGGGTCCGCGGCGGCAGGGCAGCGGGAGCCGGCGGCGCGCTCCGCCGGCGGTTGGGAGCGCAGCGCCCGCGCCTCCGCGGCGTCATGGGCGCCCTCCCCGGGCCTCAGCGGGCACCCGCCGCGGGAACCCCCGGGCCTCCTCGCGGCCGCGCCTGAGAGACGACCCCGGGGTCTCCGGCGCCCTCTCCCTCCACCCTAGTTTATTTATTTTTATTCTCCTTTTTACCCGCTCTGCCCTCGCCGCCGCCACCGCTCCAGCTTTACCGCGATGGCAACGGAGCCGCCGTCCCCGCTTCGGCTCGAGGCGCCCGGCCCCCCGGACAGGCGGACCCCGCCGGCGAGCGGGGCGGACGCGGAGGGCACCCCGAAGCCGGCGGGCGGCGCGCTGCGCTTCCTCAACGGCTGCGTGCCGCTGTCGCACCAGGTGGCCGGGCACATGTACGGGAAGGACAAAGTGGGTGAGTGGGGGCGGCGGGGGGACTCGGGGGGCCCGGGACCCGGGGGGGGAGGTTGGGGGGCGGGCAGCCTGGCGCCCGCGGCCGGGAGGTGCGCCCCCCTGGCCCCCGCGCCGGCCTCTCTCCCTCGCCTCCCCGGAGCCCTGCGACCCCGGGCCGCGGGGCCCCGAAAAGCCGGGCGATCCCAGGGCGTGGGGCGCCGGGGGTGGCGGGGGGGGGGGGGAGAGGAGCGCCCGGCCTCCTCCCCGGGGAGGGTGGGTGTTGATTGGAGTGAAAATAAGGAACTTTCATTGGACTGGATGGGGAAGTCACTTCTGCCCCCGGAGCACAAGGTCTGTTTATTATAAGCGGGTAGCTGATTGCCAGAGGGGAGGAATGAAACGCGGATGGTGATGCTGATCTGGCGCTTTTTCGGGGCATAGCCGGAGGGTTAGGGGGGAAAAGATGTGTGTGTGTGTGTGTGTGTGTGTGTGTGTGTGTGTGTGATTATATATAAATATGTGTGTGTGTGTGTGTGTGTATATATATATATATATATATATATATATATATATATAGAGAGAGAGAGAGAGAGAGAGAGAGAGAGAGAGAGTGTGTGAGAGAACGAACACACACGCTCATCTTATCCGGGATCCCTCCCTGCCCCTGGGAGGTTTTTCTGATATCTGATGGATTTCTCCCGGAGGCTTGGTTCCCGGAGCGGAAACTCGGATTCTTGGTAGGAAACCACAGCCTGCTGTTGTGCTAGAATGGCCCACAGGTCAGTCCTTAAGTTATTCTCAATCATCTTTTTATAAGGCTGTATCCTGGCATGTGGAATCTCTCTCCCCTCCACCTCCCCCCCCCCCCCCCCCACCACCACCACTGTCAATGGGTTAAAGCACAATACAGGGCCTGTCTACCTCCGTTTTTCCTGTTGATGATTTAAAGTTCAGTGTGGGAACTCGAATTCACCTAGCTTACTCACACTGGTTTCCTGGGCCGCAGTTCATTGGGTCGTCTGATGGGTGAGTGTGCGAATGAAGCAGATCTTAGATCTGAAAAACCACTAGAGACAGTTCGGTGTATGCTGGTAAGATGATTTGGGTTTAGGCCTGAGGCTGGTCAAGTCTGGTTAAGGGACAAGCCTGAAGTTACACGGCTGCTGTGCGTTAGAAGGCAGAAACCCTCAGGAGGGTTTTTCCCACCGTGTATTGTGCTTGAACATCAAGGTTGTTGAAGATGGTTTGAATGGAGGTTATTTCTCGCTGAGCAACACTTCCCACTACTTTTATCTTGACCTACTTTTCTTTTGTTGAGAGTTGGCATTAATGATAGTGTCATGCAGTTTGTGTGTCTTTCTCCCCACTAAACTGAGAGTTCCCTGAGGTTGGAGACCAAATCTGTGAACCCTCACAGCCTTGTGCATTGGGCTCAGCTGAACTCCGGAAGGGGAGTGTCAGAGTGACAATCGCCCTTCCTTCAGTACACCAGATAAGGAAGTATCTTTCTCGGGGTGTGTAGATGTAAGGAAGCAACCTTCTAAAGATGCTTGGCATGTAGTCTCGTGTGTCACTAAAGGTAATGAGAATATGAGAGTACTTAAGGAGAAAAGTATTGTGAATAGATGTATACCTATTGATTTATATTGATGAATTGTAATGATAATATTCCTAATACACTATTTTGGCGGCCCGAATAAATCATTGTTTCCTAAGGGTACCTAGAGATGGACTTCTAAGTAAAGGAGAAGAGATAAACAAAAAACCCCAACATAAACACAATCTTCGATGATTGTCACTTAAGTCTGTAACCACTGCTTATCAAAGCATGTATGTAATAGCCTATTCAGAGAGTTATCTCTGACTCATTACAAATATCCCTTGAATATGACTTAAAACTACATTGGGAACAGAGGCTAAAGAATTTGTCACCCAAATTACCTAATTAAGAAAGTAATTTAGATTCTAGAGGAAGGAGTCCGTTCAACTTAAAAGAAACTTTCTTTTTTCAATTTTGTAAGACTTTTTTTGTAAGATGAAGGGATTGTCTTTGTGTCACCAGTGCACAATACCTCAAACATACTCTGCTATTTAATAAATATTTGATGTATTTAATTCTCATTTATTTACACAATCTTGTTTATATTGTTAGCAAAGGGACACTGATGATAATCTTCCCTATTCCTAAAATGCATAACAAGATGGTCAGTAATTCAGAGTACAAGAATTTATGTCTCTCTACTATAACAGACCACATATTGTTGTCAAGTATATCATGCAGGTCATAGTTTGATTTGGCTGTCAACTGAAATTCTAAGAATAAACTTTCTTAAAAACATTGTGTGAGTATTTGTTTAAAAATTTTGTTACTATCGGTAAGTAACCAGAGTTTTTCGATTTAGGATTGGTATGCTACTGATTTTCAAAAAAGGAGTTGTTGGTGTAAATGAAAAAGCTGTTTAGGAAAGTAACCTAACAGTGTGATCTGATCATAAATTTCTAACTGGGCAGGTCATAGTCGTTGTATAACTTTAGTAAAAGATTTATTTTATTTTTGCCTTAAGCAAGCCCTGTCATTTGTTGTTTTTGTTTGTTTGTTTGTTTGTTTGCATCTAAGATTAACACACATTTTTAAAATAACCACTCTCTAGAGAGCACATAGTCTTGTTAACTATCCTGTAATTTTCTCCTTGCTTCCACTTTTATGTAATCTTCCTTAATTTCAAATGCATAAAAGAAACTGCACATTGGCTATTCTGCAGAGTATTTGAAATCTTGCTTCCCAGCAATTGTCATCAGTTTTGACTTGAATAAACACTTAGAAAAATTCTCTACCGGTTTGGATGTTTCTTACATCGACATTGCCTTTGTTAAATTAAAAATTAAGATCGTGGAACCAATAGCATAACAGTACTTGAACAGAAAAATAGAACTTGCTATAGTTAAGTGACAGTATTTTATCATTCTGATATCAGTTATATTTTGTTCTTCACTCAAATCCTATTTCATCAATGTACATTGAATTTTTCTAAGAACAATAGTTTTTTGTTTTTTTTTTTAATTGTAAAAGTAGTACATGATCTTTTAGGGAAAAAATTTCAAGGAGTAAAACAGTATGTAGTAACCTTCCCCCTACTCAAGTGCAATAGCTGGTAACTATTTCTGGTGTGTCCTTTTAAGCCTTTGTTTTTGGGCACATAAACACGTAACACAATTCAGACTTTTCTTATAAACATATGTAAGCAACTTTTTGTTTCCAGTCTGTATTTTATCATGTAGTATATCCATATTTTTTGTACCTAGGATATACTTTATTCTTTAAAAAAATTGTTTTATATTCTATAGTGTAGATATATCACAATTTATTCCTCTAGTGTAGGATTTTTATATCTTTATCATTTTTGTTATTATTTTATGTATTAAACATTCCTGTATATCTTGCGCATTGTGTAACTCTGTAGGAAAATTTCACAAACGTGTAATAGTTAGCAATTTAAACTCCCAAACTTCACCAAAGTTAGCATGAAGTCCTTTTTGTTTTAATATTTATCATGTACCATTAATTTTTTTCAAAAGTCCTTAAAGATTTAAACAAATAGTTGAAATCTCATGTTTGTGCCCTCATCCCCTTTAGAATATAGAATAAGGTAGTTTATAGGAAAAAGGGATTTAAAGTGATACTTTTTTTGGGGGGAAACTCACAACTTTTTGGTTTCCTGGCCTATTTTATTAGATACCCTCTGAAACTAATTGACTTAAAATAATTTCAAACTTACAGAAAAGTTGCAAGAATAATACAGAGAACTTAATATTTTTTTGAATATTTGACTATGCATTTAATTTTTTCCTGAAATATTTACTTAAGTGTATATTTCTGTAACTATAGCACATTTATAAGATACTAGAGGCCCAGTTCACGAAATTTGTGCCTGGGTAGAGTCCCTAGTGGCTGCCAGCTGCTGGCCAGGGCCTCCCTTACCCCAACCACTGCTGCTGTTCCCCCCTGCGGGGGAGGGGCCAGCCAGCCCCACCCCAGTCAAACTCCTGGGTGGAGGGGACAATTTGTATATTAGGCTTTTATTATATAGGATGGGAAATTTAACAGTGATAAAATGCTCTTATCTAATCTATAGTCCATATTCCAATTTTTCAGCTGTTCCAAAATATCTTCATCATATTCGTTTTTCTCTTCACAGGATCTAGTTCAATATCTTTTATTATTTAGTTGTCAAGTCTTTTAGATTCCTCTAATTTGTATCAGTTCCCGGCCTTTCTTTGTCTTTTATAAAATTTTCATTTTTAAGAATATAGGCTAGTTATGAGATATTCTTTAATTTGGATTTCTGATGGGTTCTCATGAAATTCAGGTAGTGCATTTATGGTTGGAATATTATATAAGTGTATCCTATTTATTTTTAAAACATTTTTTATTGACATTTAGAGAGAGGAAGGGACAGGAAGAAAGAGAAGCATGATATGAGTGCAAGACATTCATCTGCTGTCTCCTGCATGCCCCCTACATGGGACTGTGCCTGTAACCAGGGCATGTATCATTATGGGGAACCAAACAGCAACCTTTCTGTGCACAGATTGAGGTCCAACCATCTAAGCCACACCTGCCAGGGCCAAGTGTATCCTCTTTAAGTTATCACATCTGGAAGCTCACAATGTCCATCTGCCCATTATTAATTTTGATCATCTGGCCCAAGTTTGGTCTGCTTCTCCAGTATATAGCTAATATTTTTCCCCTTTCAACTAATAAGCATCTGTGGGGAAATGTTTTAATTTTAAGATCATACAAATATCTGGATTCTTATCATACTTCACCCCTAGATCTAGCATCTATAGATGATACTTGACTAATAATTTTAGTCAAGTGGAAAAATGAGTATTTTTCTTCCAGTTCTGCCACTCCATCTATGTTAACAGTCAGCATTTCATATTGATACTTTCCCTTATACTGAGGGTATGTGGTTGGAAACTCTTAAAAAGTTATTTGGGTTAGGGCTTTTGCGGGGTTAT